GAAAGCAGAAACTACGTTTTCCTCGAGCAGCAGGAAAAAAAATTTCACAGACACATGTTGAGTTGACGCTGCTTGGCCCTGTCCGAGAACCTTAGCAGAGGCCGGAGCGGACGTTTCGGTTATTTACGGCCTAATTGCTTCGACCTCGTAGCAGACGTGGACTCACAAGGGAACATCCCGAATTGACAATTGCCGATTTTTATAGAACTCTGTGAGATTGTAGTTCTCATAAAAATATTTGATACGTATTTGATTTTAGCTGCTCTGATCCACGTTGAAGGGGTGAAAACAGCCCTAGGTTGTAAAAGTACCTGTCGTTCCGCTATTACGGTCGATTACTGTACCGCTACCAATCCAGATTATTTCAATGAGGTTAAAAACAATCTCAAAGTGTCAATGATAATTTATAATTTACGCAAATATAAAAAAAATAATATAATTACAATTTATAATATAATTAATTATTAAATAATTAAATATTTAATCCTTTTTTTGTTTTTTATACTTATGTTATTTTAAGATGATTTATTTTTATGATTTCCTATCGATATTGTTTTTCATCTCATTGGAATGATCTGGAGTGGTTTCCTCATATTTTGAATAAGATGGAGTACTTTCGCACGTATAATTAAACACATACTGCATTTTTACGATTCCTAGATATTACTGTTACGGTATGCGATGCTGGTTGATTTCTCAAATGGTTGAAATTCAGTCTGTAGGTATAAAAGTTCCCTGCGTCCTGTAGCGAAACGTCCGCTCCCGTCTCTGCTAAGGTACTCGGACAGGGCCAAGCAACGTCAACTCAACATGTGTCCGTGAAATTTTTTTTCATGCTCCTCGAGGAAAACGTAGTTTCTGCTTTCTATCTCGAAGCAATGGGTATCCTGGCAATAAATTAACGGAGCCACGGCTTCAGTGAAACTGCACGACGGTTCGTTCGTTGCACTTCTGCAAAGCACGTGTTTTCCTAGAACGCTGGTTTCTTTTTACCTAAATCTTGTTGCCACGGTGGAAGTGAACTCACAATGTAACGATAAGAAACTACTTGGGGGTAGACGAAGCCCTTTCGGAAAAATTCTATCAGTCGGTAAGCAATCGGGCGACAGAGATGTTCAGTTCACGGGAGAATTAATTGAAAACATGTGAAAAATTGAAAACAATCGGTCCGTTTCTGGACCACCAATTTTCCTAATATAGGAACAAGACGTTCGATTAAAAATACATTAAGTGATCGTGTCGGCTGATCAGTGTTAGCGGTCGAGCAGTGAAGTGAATTTCGTATTCGGTGCAATAACCCGGACGCACTTTACATTACAACCCTTAACTTCGACTGGTGAGGTATACCTGCGATCACCTGCAAACTGGGCGATACCCTGCCATAAACCGCGACGATGACTAGGATCTGTACAGTGACCTACTAACACAGGTCTGCAAGCTTCAGGTGAATTTTCGAAAGGGTGAGTTCTATTCAATATATTGTTGATTATTATTTTTTTAATTTAACGCAAGCTATATATGACTTTTTCCCGGCAATAATTCTACAAGTTTCCGTACCTACATTTTTCTTCTGACTTCTTAAAGATTCTGTTCAAGAATTAATTGTGTATTCGTCCTTTTACGTTACAGATGATTTTCTTACATTTATGTTTCATTCATTCGTCACTTTAAATGACAAACTAAAGATGATAAAAAGTTCGATTTGTTATGTTTTTCTTATTTGCTATTATACGCTCATAATACAAGCGTAGCACGTAGCCACCGCTAGCGCGGGAACTTGGCTGGCAAACTCACGCTCTGATTGTCCGGGTTTTTCGTTAATAACTCGTGAACAAAGCCACAGAGAACATTTTCGCTAAGGAAAAAGTGGTTCCAAGTCATCCCAGAAGAGCATTCCCTGCGAGTCCCAAAAGACCGATAGCATCAATTTCCAACCGTGTGGATCGAGATTTGGTTGGGCTGGCAGGACTTTGCCGCGTAGAAGCCAAAAGGAGTGGCGTGTGTTATTTTCGTAGAGTACCCACCTTTCATCTCCAGTCATAATTTCCTTAAGAAATCCCTGCCGATGCTGGCGGGGCAACAAACATTGACAAATGCTGAAACGAGCGGCTTGATCATGGTTGGTCAACGCGTGAGGCGTTGACTCGTGTGGCGAGCGATGACACTACGAGGTAGCCGAAGAGCATTCTCCAAATCTCGCGTACTAGAATCCGGGCGAAACTCGAGTTGGCCGCGTAGATCGTCTTCGTCGTTGGCTGACCAGAGCGGGGTTGGCCTTCACAGCTTATATCGCCTTTATCGAAGCACTTACACCAGAAGTGTACTGTCCAATCACTAGTAGTACCTGGTCCGAATGCAATGTTGATCTTTTTAGTCGTCTCCGTTGAAGAGGTGTTAAGCCGGTGTTCATATAACATGATAGCTCCCAGATGACATTGCTGCACTTTCGTTCTCTACTAATCTCCCTGTTATGGCCGCGCCAATTTATACCCATTACGTGGAAGGTTCGCGCACATACTCGCACATTCTGAAAACTTCTCGGATCCGCTTCGATTTAAAGACGAGAACGTTCGAAACACATCGAACCCGGTAACGACATATGGGACAGCCCAATAAAATCACTATATGTAGCTCGGAGGAGCACTATGACATCTCCATTTTCAAAAGCAGCTTATTTTATAGGTAAGATTCGAAGGAATACGCACACATTTTTTTCAAATTTGTTTATACTCGATTCTCTGGAAAAAAATTTTAAAACAACAATTTGTTTTTAATTTTCTATGTTCTTAAACTGATTTTTCAATTTAAACAAAATTGATTTAAATAGGCCAAAACCTTCTAGATTGAAATAAAGATAGAATGAACTCAATGCGACAAATAGTTTCCAAGATAAAAATTCATAAATGCATCACGGCTTCACTAAAACAGGCAAAAATTGTAAACTTTGACGGCCTGTATTTTTTAAACAAGTACGATATCAGCAAAATGATATAATAGCCCCACCCCCCCAATTTCGTGTGGACTACAACATTTTGAACAAAATCCCTAACATCAAGTTAAAAAGTGGTCGATTTGGCGTAAATTGGGCCCGTTATATTAAGCTAATTGTATTAGAAATTTATGTACAGGTAAGTCTCGATTAATACGAGTTCAAATAGTGCCATATTCGATTTGGTACGAACTATAAATTGATACCAGATGGTATTGAACCGTTCGTAGGCAGTATGGGTCGTTGGCAACCCAAGGAACTTCCCATTTTTCCAGGACATACTCAAATATATTTGCCTACGGTGGGTTCATACAAACAAAAATTCAGTTAATGCGCGGTTCGCCAGACTTCTTTCATTCGGTACAACTGTGGAAACAGTTAGTCTTTTGTTTTAACGGTCTTTAAACTTCTTCTGTTTCGTAAAGACGACGCATAAACAGTCTCTGAACTTCTGTTACATCAGCGGTGGGCAAAGTTAGCTTTCGAGAGCTAAAACCTGTCCCTACCATTGACTGCCGTTACTAGAGTTGGGCAAATTTTATTTCAAATAACGAATAAAGCAGAGTTGGGCATTATACGAATACATTTTTGAATAAAATTTTATTCAAATAATCTTCAAATAAAAGTTTCGAATAAAGGTTACGTCATCGGCGCATCAACCGTCAATCGCTATCTTAAGAAAGGGTTCCTCTTACCACATCGTACCCTTCGGGTTCCAATCCATGGATGGGAAGCGGCGTCGCTTACTCCTGACTTTTATTATTCACTGCAGAGTTAGTCAGAATAACGAATAACGAATAATTTTTCGTCGAATAAAATCGTTATTCGTTATTCGCGAATAAATCCCGGGACTTTATTCGTTATACGAAATAAAATTTGCCCAATTCTGGAATAAAGTCCCCGGATTTATTCGTTATTCGTTACTCTGAATAACGCTGCAGCAAATAAAAGTCAGGAATAAACGACACCGCTTCCCATCCATGGATTGGAACCCGAGGGGTACGATGCGATAAGGGGAACCCTTATCGAGATAGCGATTAACGATTGATAACGTATACTTAGCTATAAAGTGGTTCTTTTAACTCGACCTTCTAACATTTACAATATCTCCGTTTCTTTTTAAATAAATTTTCTATTGTATTTCTTGTAATAAGTGCACCACTTTGTCATAACTATGAGTATTTTAATAATTATGTCGTTTCTAACGTAACTATGGGTAATTTAATAATTGCATCGTTTCTAACGTAATGCACATTATGACACAATTATAAAACTATTACCTTCAAATTTTCGACAAGCCAAAACTACTGTCTTTCTTTCGTATGAATTTGAAAATGTGGAACAATTCAATGTGCACTCACATTTCACTCATGCACGTATGCGCCGATGTGCGTGTCGCCCATAGCCATATATAATAGACTGCGCGGTCTTATGGTAGGGATGAGGTTGACAGTAGAGTAAGGGGATAATACATAGAGTCACAGACTTCTCTTTCTAATGGGAAATATATGTCTATGGTGTCGCCGATGACGTAACATTTATTCGCTGGATCCTTCGAATAAATTTTTCTTTGAAAAAAATCTATTCCTTATTTTCGAATAAATTCGTTTTATTCGAAGATTATTCGAAAAATTTATTCGAATTTTTATTCGAATAAAATTTAATTCGAATAACGCCCAACTTTGACCATCACCATGGGGGAATAGAGACAAAAGGGGGAATGCAGACGTGTGAGGAGCCCGTACTCTGCCCAGCGTTGTGTTACATAATCAGTGAAGTTACTTAACGTATTTCGCGTACTATGTTAACGTTTTATGCGTGTCTTTCTTCATTATAATTTAATAAAATACATATAAAAAGGCATATTTACAATTTTTTATTGTATATTTTCTTTAAAGTAGAAGCAAATCTTGTATTTCAAGTATTCGAATAGTACGAAGTTGAATAACGCGATCAATTTCTGGGATTTATTACTCACACTAATCGAGACCTACCTGTATTTGTATATTACCTTCGGAATTTGTTTCAAAGTTATTATACCAAAACCAATAGCTGATTCTTCAGGGGGATAAATACGTCGACCTCTGGTATTTTGTTCTTCAGGTAAAGGACAACTCAAAACCATATTAATGTGATATAGATAGGAAGGAACTCCAGGTTTTGGTCTACAGTCCGTTAATGCCTCAGCTGTCTGAAAAATAGTATTTTTATATTAAAATAAAAACTAAACCTATTTTAAAATGTAAAAACATTAATTTATAATAAGTTAACATTAAAAAGCAACCTTTTTATAGTAATACTGTCTACGTTTAGTTGTTCCAGGCCGAGCTTCGGAAAAATCCACTATGCTTTCATCGGGAAGTGCGGGTACTTCTGCATCTTCTGGTTTAGCTTTAAAATTTTCTTTTCCAATAGGTAGTAAGTTATCATCTATTTCATTCTTCCTATGTAAATCTACGCATAATTGTAATGCGGCCATCCGTCTTGCCATGGCCCTATTAGGCATAGGATATGACTGAAATAAAATTTTAAATGTTTCCTTATTTAAGAAAGCCAAATAGTACATGTCTACATTTTTATAAGAAAATTATTTACCGATACAATATATTTTACTGGAGAATTTATAGGTAGTCGTAAAGAACATGTATACATATGTGTGTTGTCTACATTAATACTCTTAATGGACCACTCTGGTGTTAATCTTGTAAAAGTATCACTAGGTAATTTTGCACAATATCTATACAGATAAAATGTTTTAACATCAAATAAATTTATAAATTTGTGTAACAATATTAAAAGTACATATATTTTCTTCATGCAATCATCATATTGCGCTACCTGTTTACCAATGATATGGCAGAGTTGAATGTTACTGAAGGTGCATCATCTCCATCAAGTGGTTTATAATGTGGAAGTAAAGGAGCATATATGTCTGCTTCATTTTCTTCTTCCTCAGTAGGTTCATTATTAGAACATTTCAGTAACAATATCTACAGAACATAATATTCTTTTATTAAAAACTCTAAGTAACAGAGACAGTAATGATAACATGCACTAAGATTGATAATGAACCACATTAACCCTTCAGGCCAAAGATTCATGCACCATACTGGTTTGCACGTCCTTCGTTGCGATCAAAACAAGTTATATTATAACGATATTGGTCTATAATACTCCGCTAGTAGTAATCATTCACTGCGTTACTTCATCATTCATATTACGGTCACTACATTCTTAGAATAATTCAAATATATGGAATAGGGTATACATCAATCGAGACACTAAAATCTTTCAAGATTTACCATACAAGAGTTGATAATTGAGGTGAATTAGTCGCATAGAGAAAAAAGCGAAATTCTATTCAGTACCTGACGAGTTAAGTGGCTAATACTGAAATTGATACACATTGAACGTTATGAATAAATTGAATTGTATTTAACTTTCAAACATGTAGAATACCAAATCTACTTCATGTAAGTAATGAAATTTTTTTATGGAATAGGAATAAAATGTTTAACGAATAATCATATACCATAATTTTATACCTTTTCTATATAATGGTATTGTGCCAATTTCCGGACACATTCTTTTGATGCTGTTTCTGGTACTAATAATACATGTAACGCATCCATAGCTCTTGCTCGACTTTTACATTGTACATAAGAGCGGTAAGTTTTTGGAAAATCATATCTCATTACAAAATTGCATTTTGGAATATCAATACCTAATGTAAATAAAATATTATGAGATGCCATACATAAATGAGTAATGGAAAGAATTACATAGTAGAAATATAAATATATAATAACCTTCTTCTAAAATTGAAGTTGAAATTAATAAATTACATTCATGTACTCTAAATCTTTTTAAAACTTCTTCCTGTTTTCTATGTTCCACTTCGATATCTTTTGAATAACCAGTGTCATCGGGAATTCTCTCAATTGTATAAAGAGGTGATAAAAAATGTAACTGTTCATCATGCACAGAAATTTCATGTAATAAATAGAACAGAATTTTTGCTACAAATGCTTTATCCACAAAAATCACTCCGCATAGTAAGTCAGGATCTGTAACTCCACGCACATGACGATCAGATTTGGGTGATCTTTTATAATTATCTTCATTATTTTTCCAATTACAGTCTGACTTTCTAACTTGTCTAAAATTATCTTTCATAGAAGTTTCTTTGTTATTTACCACTAAATTTTTTAAATTACTTTCATTCTTTATTTTATTATAAACATTATCCATATATTTGTTATAATATGGAGTATAAGTCTTTAGAACCCGCAGCAGACGATGAACTTTTGGCGTACTGTATTTGTATATTCTCTCCTTTTCAGATAAACGTTCAAAAGCATTATCACACAGAGCACGTATTTTCAGAAAAACAGATGCTACCATGTTGAGTAACAAATAATGTCTTTCGTAAGGAGTTTTTATTTTCAGTTTCTCTGTTAAAATTAAAAGAGCAAGAGCAGCACGATCTGCACACCATGGTCCAAGTGTTTCTAATACATGCAAAAAATCTTGCATCATCTCAATGGGTTTTCCTGTTGGATCAGGTATTTTTTGAATATCTTCATAAAATTCTTCAGTATATATTTCTGTAGGGTCATGACGGTGATCACGTAAAAATTCAATAACATGTAGCACATAATTTTCAATAGTATTATATAATTCTTCTTTCTCATTTCCAGAATATTCCACTATGTATTCCTTAGGTTTAGGGCTATAGCTATTGTAAAAGTCACTAGAATTAATTTAAAATATAACTTTTAGATTTATTACACTTACCGTAATACCGACAATATGTCACTAGCTGTTTCAACTTCACACTGAAATGTAGCTTCTACTTTTTCTATTTCAAGCCCTAATCTTCCAGGTTCTTGAGTTAAATTAAATAATGGTACAGCTAATCCAATAATTCTAGGAACACTGATGCAAGATAAAAACATTTGCAAAATGAATATTAGCTTATTATCATCTATAGATTTATGGCATTCATCAACAATGACTAGATTCATCTGTTGTGGTAAGATCTTTTTTTCTACTAATAACTGTGCACATATTTCAGAAGTTGTAACTAATACCTATAACAAAATGATTATAAATAAAAATAAAAATCAATAAAAATGAAAGATGTATAAAAACACATTGATGATATTCCTTACATGGGAAGATTCATATTTTTCCATAAATTCTGTAGTTGAGTATGTATCACATAGCAAAACTTTCAAATCTGTTAATTGCTGTATGTAACTTGCTTTTATTTTATACTTTTCCACATCTGTCAATATGTATAACGATCGTTTTCCTCCATCACTTAATAGTCTAAGTTAATTGAACAATAATTTATAAAAGTATTCAGTGAGTACATATGTTGCAATAAAGAAACATAAATGAATATATTAAATATATATAAAAACACTTGCTTGAAGTGTAATACTACCTCCTATTATTCGTAGCAAATTCTTGAATTAGTTTTATAACAATGAAGGTTTGTTCATAATTTTTTCCCAAGCAAATTATTATGTTTTTCTCTTTAGCAATATAAAACAATTCTACCTGTAACAATTTAAATATTACATAAATATTAAGTTGACATAATACCCCTTTTGGGTAATTAAAAATTCTTACTTGATACTCCCTAGGTGTAAAAGATTTTATATAAACTTGATCATTTAGTGGAAATGCCATGGAATCTATAATTTCTTAAGCATCCAATATAACCAAAACAGTAGGTATACTGTTAAGTTGTGCTACGCAAATAGTATGTACTCAAATTTTAAGATTAGGCTAGAGCAACTGCAATCATACAAGAAGATCGGTTTGACTTGTTTTGACTGAGTACGCTACGCTGAGTACCTATAGTTAGTACATGAACATAGGAATATAGGGACGAAGCATACTGAAGCATACCGTTGCGTGGGGAATACCTTTGCGGGAGGGGTGACGAGGTAAAAGGGTGCTTAATTTCTATTGGCTGCTGCTGTACATATGCGTATAACGCGATGAGCGATGAACGTGCGTAAAAGCCGTGGTAATCTGGTAGATTTATATATATAAACTTTCGTTTCGATACCGTGATGAACGTGCATGAAAGACGTGGTAATCTGGTACATTTATATATATAAACTCTCGTTTCGATACCGAGTACTTTTAGTATCGATACTTTCGGTTGCGATATATACTCGGTATCGAGAAAAGTACTCATCGAATAAAGCGAGTAATCCATATGAAAGCGTGGTTGTCGTCCAATAATATTACTTTGTTACTAAATGTTCATTAATAAAATATATCTTCATTAAAATCAGGGATGGGCAAATTTATTATTTAGATAAAGAGTTACGAATAACGAATAAAAGATAAAGAACGTACTTTGTCATTTTTAATCGTTTAAACGTGGAAATTCCAACTTTTATAACAAAATAATACTTCTTCGTGCATTACGGTGTCAATATTTGACAACCAACATGAAAGACTAGACACAATGGAGTGCAATGGAGTCTGAATTAAAGTAAGCATCGAATATATTGTTTATTAACATTACGCTACACCTTTTTTTGTTATGTTTGCAGACAAATAATGTTCAAATATGTGTGGGAACCGATGAGAAGGAAGAAAGAGTTGGTGACTGGGCAATGTGTCAAGAACCACACATGACAACATATGATAATTATACAACATATAATAATAAAAAACCTCGATAATTCCCTCTGAACTACGATTCCTACACTTGTATTATATATATATATATATATATTATTTTGTAAAAATTGTAAATATGGTTGAAATCGTATTGTAAATGTACATATTCAAGAAAAAATAAATATTCTGGAGGAATATAAAATGTATTTAATTCCACCTGTCTAATTTAAATGGAAGTAATTACAGAAGCCGCTAGGTTATAACGTAAGATTTGTTCTGTTTCTACAGCGAATCTGACGTCATGTTCTACAGCAGAGGTACTCTGTTTCTGCTGCGAATCTGACGTTACATTCTACAGCAGAGTTACTATGTTTATGTTGTGAATCTGACGTTACGTTCTACAGCAGAATCGTATACAGACAATGACATTCAGAATGCAGCGACAGATGTATATGAATCTGAGGTACTACCTGACCAACTATGACATCAGATGCCGTGCATGTGATGTCAGTTTGCTCATAGGGTTAAATACTAATCACTGACGAAGTATATTATAGGAGTTAAACATTTCATCCAATTTATTTTTGCGGTCCACCTTTTCAGTATAATGTTTTATTATTGTGTTTTGGTCCATCCTAAATTAGAATGAATAATAAATACATAAAAAGATGCATTAATTGTTTTTGAAATATTGAATCGATTGAAAATTGAATCGATCAATCGTTTCGTATTATTATCGATAATACGTCTAGGTACTCAACAACTTCAGGGTAGAATTTCTTTTGGCCGTTGTTGCGCTACTGGTGAGTTCATCTATTTTTCGTTGTGAATTTAAACTTCATAAATAATATTGTATTACTAATTAACTGACACATACATTTTCATTAAATAATCCCTTGCATTATTAATATTTTGCGTATAGGAAAACTAGTCTCTTCAAAGTCCTAAATATATTTTTGTGATAACACGTGTCAATTGTCCATCTTTCATTTTTTCGTTAATGTTTTGTATTCTTTCGTTATTATTATTAAACTAGATTTAATTACGAAAATTAAGTACTAAAATTAAATATTAATCATTTTAAATTTCTTATTTAATTTTCATTATTCGTACAAGGTTGTATTCATATTGTGTGGAATGTTTCCAGTAAAGAAGTGCAACAAATTAAGAAGAAAATTATCATAAATATAACAGTAACTTTAATTTTAGAATGTATACTGAATGTTTTTTATTTTTTTTTAGTGCAAACATGCAGTTACACATCAGAGGCGAGCACACAACTGTTGTTGAGTCTCATGAAAATGAGACTATTGCAGAAATAAAGGTATCTAAAGAGTATTGTATGTATATAAGTACATAATATGTTACTGCATTGATCCAAAAAATATTAAATTCAGCTAATCTCATAGAAAGTGGTCTGTTATTTACTTTATTGTTTAATTATTAGTTTTGTTTCAATTTACTTTATACATAAAATATTTTATATGAAATGAAATAGACGTATCTTAATTTTTATAATGATAAATGTGTTCTACACTTCTAAGATTAAACATTTTTTCCTATAAGATTATTTTCACACAAGTGATAACATGATAGAACATTGAACATGTTCAATACACATATCTTAGATTCAACGTAGCACACAGTTTTAGAATATGCATGTGACTCAGCATTGAATGTGTTTAAGTGATATGGATAAGGAAATGGAGATAATACAATTTTTTAATTATTTTTATTACAATACGTGAAATAATAGTTAATGTATATCAGCGTTGGGCAGTGTAGTGACCCTGACACACCTGCTTTTCCTTTCAACCATTCATTTTACACTATGTGTCTGTAGAGACAAAGAGGTTCAGATTTTTATTTCTGTTACTGTCACTGTATATTTTATGGTAATGGCAAATGGTAGTGGGGATAGGTTTTAGCTCTCAAAAGTCAACTTTGCCTACCACTGCTGTAAGTATATGATTGCCAAGTTTGCTGTTTCTATGTAAATTCTCAAGTATAGTAGTTTGTCATCTTCTAATTATTGTTAAGAGACATGTATATGATTTGTGAATGTGCTATATTTAATTGTACAAAATGAATCTTTTATATTATTACTTTACAAGGTATTATTTGTGTTGTACTTTCTAATTATTAATGATCAGAATCACACATTACAAAATAATTTTGAAGTGTGATTTAACATAATTTATAAGTTATAGCTGCTTTTTTATTATTTTGTATTACTTGACTGCTTCTTTACTCCTACCTCCTTAGCCTTGCTAGCAGAGTTGGACAGAATTTTATTCGAATAATATACAGTGAAAAGTAGCAGTATCTAAGGGTGTTGTCCTGAGCTTTAAACAGTTAATGAGATTAAATAATTGTTTGACAAATGTCGATTCATTCATAAAGAAGTATTATATTATAAAATTTGAAATTTCCAGGTTTAATCAATTAAAAATGACAAAATATTTTTTTTATCTTTTATTCGTTATTTGGAACTTTCTATATAATGAATTTGCCCAGCTCTGCTTGCTAGTCGTAGAGGTTGTAATTGCGTTGTATAGATAACCTGAAGTCTCAGTATATTCTGCCTTTGGGAGGAGCAACAACGCAATATTAAAGTACGAATTTATGAGCTGGAGATCAAATGAATTCTCATTGATTACCATTCGCTATAATCGTCAACAATTACTATAATATTTAATAAAAATGCATTATTTCACTTTGATTTTCTTGAATGCAATAAATTTATTATTTTGCTTTGTTTCAAATAAACTATTATTCAGAACTTAATAACTACCTTAGATGTTAAGGCATTTAAAATATCTTTTTGTGTATAAAATACAATGAAATAGGAATCATATAAAGTTTAATAATATTCATGTTACTCTTAATCTAATGTGGTTTTAAATTAATATCTACAACTATGAATTTGTATAAACATACAATCTATTACTCTGTGTCAAACAGACGAAACACTCTCTTGTACATAACTAGGGATGGGATGAAGTTCCTCGCAAACAGGTTCGAACTTTGGTTGGTTGAATTCGAACTCTCCATAAAGTACTTAAAAAAATAGACATAGTATTCCTAAATATACTCGAACATATGTCATGTAGTTTTGAATCTTTCACAAGTACTTTGGTAAATGGAAGTATACTCGAATCTTGATTGAATAAATTCGAAACTTTTTCGGACATTGTACCAGAAATTCTCCGATCTTTCTAATTATTTTTTTTTACTTTTGAAATCAATTATGTTGTCCTTTAATGCATGGTACAATTCAATATGTATAACTATAATTTTATAATCTATCAGATTTTCATATGGACACATCCTGCAATCTAATTGCAGCTGTTATTATCAGCAATGAAAGCCACTACTTTCCTCCCCATTTTTTAATCAATGAATGTGCAAGAATTATGTAACTGCTACGAAGTGTCTAAGAGTCATTAGTGATGTTGTATTCTGTAAGATATAAACAGTAAATGGTAGTCGACTCATCGTACTGATAGATACAACTTGTCAGTTGTTATCCTAGTGTTCCAACGTGTCAGTGATATATTATTCGCAGTAAATATGCCTAAACGGTCTTGGGTTTGGCAATACTATTCTGGTCCAGAAAATTCTTACATGACATGCAATGCATATAGTAAGAAAATTAAATGTAATGAATATACAACTAATTTAATTAAACATGTGAAAATGCATAATATTTTAGAGGATGGAAGCATTTTGTTTGCACAAGACTCGTGTCCTTATGATGGTACTTTCATTTTATAACGATACTTATTAGATTTCAGTTGACTTATAAAGAGAAAAGCTTTCTAATTTCTTTGTATTTCTTTTACAAATTAATGTGAGAAAAAAGTAAATCGATTTAATTACAATTGATCTGCAACCACTATCTACTGTGAAAGATTCAGCATTTACTGCATTAATAAAATTTTTAGATCAAACAATCAACTACCAAGTAGGAAGTTATTAAGAATATCGATAACTAATAAATATAAACACAATTAATTAGCCAATGTAATAAATATAACTACTAAATATACTAATAAATATAAACACAAGAATTAGCCAATGCACAAAAAATGTCCATTACAACAGATCTGTGCACAATCATAAACAGAAAACTTCTTGACTGTCACATATCATTTTATCATTGATAACTTCAAATTAAAAACATACACGTTACAAATGGAAAAAATTGTTGGTAGTCGTACAAGTAAAATTATTGCAGACACTTTACAGAACATACTTTGCGACTGGAAAATAAAGAAGAAAGTAGCAGCTGTCATTACTTATAATTTCTCATAAATTGATTATAGACGTAGAAATGTGATGGAATTCTACGTATCAGACGTTTGAGAGATTAATAGAAAAGAAATGGGCCATAATTTTAACTTTAGCATCAGTAAAATCTAATTTTGAATTATTAACAGATTTAGAGTGGAATGCTTTTAGTATTACTCAACCCCTACTACGCATATTTTTCTTAATTATACAAGAAATTAGTAACGAAAGAAACATAAATTTGTCTAAAATAATAGCACTTACAAAATAAATAATTATTTTTTTTTACACTTCTACCAATGATTATAGTTTGGAGTATATTTTGCAACAAAAAGTGATTGCATTATATCAAACATTATCTATATATGTATATAGGTGATGCGGAGAACAATCATTTGTATAGGTTAACTGCATTATTAGATCCACGATTCAAAACAATAGTTTTTTCTAAATCTGAACGGGATGCCTTCACTGATATAGCCACCAGTTACATTAATAATGATTCATTCATCTACAATATGTCATAGGTAGTTCACAGCGCAGATGGCTGTAAATCATTGAAATAGCGAATCATCCATTTGGTCATCCTCTGACAATCAAATAGCAATTACAAATAATACGATACCTAGCTCATCGACTGCTGCGTTAAAAGTCGAAAATTATCTAATATTAAAATATTTAAATCGCAAAGAAGAGCCGTTATTATTTTGTCGTGAAAATTCAAATAAGTACTCCATTTTATCAAAAGTTGCACTTGAATATCGTTGTATAATGGCCACTTCCGTACCCTCAACAAGAGTATTTTAAAAAGTAGAAAAACTCATGGATAAAAAAAGAAATAGGTTAAAACCAAGTATTGTAAATGAAATATTATTCTGAAATAGTTACGAATTTAATAAATAAAGTTCTTAAAACCTACTATGCAATTATGATTTCCAAGAGTCGAGTACTACCTACTTGTGAAAGATTCGATTCCTTTAAACATCGAAGATACTTATAAGTATCTTTTCGAAACTTGTAAGTACTCATTCCGAGGTTCGATACCAGCTCACATAGAAAGAATACTATTCAAATATAATCATTGAAACACAATTGCTTTCGAGTAGTAATCGAAACCCATGAAATGAAACTTGGTTATTGAAATTGACTTGAATTTGTGAGTATATTTTGAACTTGATCCCATTCTTTCTTTTAACTCTAGAATGGTAAGGTGGGTTTTAAGGTTGTACTTGGTAAGGTGGGGTCGGATTCGACTTGAGCTCTTTGTTGTTTTTCTCAGACGAGTAAAGAAAAGTTATTATCTTAAACTTGTATTTTTGTTTATTTATGTAATAAGGAATAATAATTGAGTTACATAACATATAATGGTATCAGTATTAAACGTTTACCAAGTAATGAAAAATATTTGCAAATGAGAATAATAAAAAATAGAGTGGGGCCAGTACAAGAGGAACTATAACTTGGGTCGGATACGACCCGGACCTTACCATGAGAGGGTTGAAGTAATATAAAAATTCGTAATTTTCAAACAACGAAAATAAATTAACTCCTGAAATTATTATAATAAATATATAATAATATTAATTTTTTATAATTTTTTTTACAGAATAAGCTTGTGGAATTACAGAGTGCTGCAAATGTAGAATGCAATCTGTATAATTCTGGACTTCTACTATCAAATGAAACATTAGTTGGAGAACTTGCATCAAATGTTTTAGAATTAACCGTTTCTCTTCCTGGTGGTAAGTATTTCGTTTTAATGATTTAGTTTCACCCAATCATTATATTCATGTTGCATTATTTTCATTTGAATATTCTACACTTCAATTACACTGTACTGTACACTGCGTGACAGAAGTTTGTGAACACCCCTAATTTTTCGGTTTCAGTATCTATCAGAAACTTTTTGCACAATCCAGTAATACCATGTTATTCAGCGTCCCAAAGAACCCCTTTGTGTAAGATTTCCAGTTAAAATTCGTACATTACACGTTTTTATTAATGAAAATCAGTTTTCTGGCCATGAGAAAACTTTGTGAACACTTACATAGAACCAAATTTATTAAAGAACTAACAACATGTAGCAATAATTATCAATATTAACACTGATTTAATAGTTGAACAGTCCTCATTTCTTCATGATAATGTCAAAACTATGAGTTCTCATGGAATCAGTCAATTGCTGAAGTAGATTCAGCTCAAGGTTTTACTAAGCTATGTTCCAAAGACTCATATTCTTTATTATTTGCGTACACACGACCCATCAATATCGTCCAAATGTTTTCCATGGGATTACAATCTGACGATCGGGCAGGCAACTCCAATAACTCAATGCGGTGTTGAATGAACCATGCTTTGGTTGTGTTACTTCTGTGTATGCCGGTGTTATCTTTTTGATAGACAAGAGGAATCCAACGAAAACGGTGCCAATACGGTACAAGACGATTCTACAATATCCCGGTGTATTCAGTATTGTCAATTCGCTCACATGTAAAGCCAGCACTATAGTTGCAATGCAGAGAAGGTTCCCTGAAAAGAAAGCGCTCATTTGAAAAGAAGCGCGATTCCTTCCTCCGATCTCTCCAGTAACAATTGTTTAACATTTTACTGAAGAGATTTGAGGAAGGAACGGTACTTCTTTTCAAAGTCTAACTTTGGCGGTCGTGTACCTGTACGGTATTGGAGTGGCCTGCCCGATAGTCAGATTGTAATCCCATGGAAAACATTTGGACGATATTGGTGCGTCATGTATACGCGATAATAAAGAATATGATTCTTTGGAACAGCTCAAAACTGCAATTTTAGTAGCTTGACAGAACCTTGAGTTGAATCTGCTTCAGCAAATGACTGATTCCATGAGAAACTCATAGTTTTGACATTATCATGAAGAAAGGAGGACTGTTCAACTATTAAATCAGTCTTAATATTGGTAATTATTGCTACAGGTTGTTAGTTTTTTAATAAATTTGTTTTTATGTAACTGTTCGCAAAGTTTTCTCACGGCCGGAAAACTGATTTTCATTAATAAAAACGTGTAATGTACGAATCTTAACTGGAAATCTTACACAAAGGGGTTCTTTGGGACGCTGAATAACATGGTATTATTGGATTGTGCAAGAAGTTTCTGGTACATACTGAAACCGAAGAATTAGTTGTGCCTACAAACTTCTGTCACGCAGTGTATGTAGTCATCCTTAAAGTTCTATTTAACCGAAATAATAATAGGTAACAGTAGTAACAAAATTATTTGAATCTTTTAGGTAAAGTGCATGGATCTCTAGCTCGTGCTGGTAAAGTAAAAGCCCAAACTCCAAAGGTAATTATATTAAAGCTTAACATTAAAACGATGTTGTATGAATAATGATGTAACATCCATTCCATTATAGCATAATATTAAAGTCTCTACTATTATTCCTATTTAAATTTCTACGAGTCTGTGCTTTTTTTAAAATCTAGGATAAAATGTAGGAGACCTACATATTAAATGTTAATGGTTTGTCATCATTATAAAAAATCACTTCTAACCTAAAACATTTAATTTTTTTACCTACAGAGTAAAATTAGATTTGATTTTCTTGTAACTGCATTTTAGGGCCTCTTTATTATTCTGGGTTATGCAGGCATAAAGGCTTTCTATACGTGATCGGGGGGTTCAACAACTTCGCGGCTCTTTTTACTTGTGGTAGAAATTCTTACGCACAGGAACATTAAACAATTGGAACTCAATATTATTAGTTGAAATATTGTACAATTTTACAACCCTATCCATAATATATTTCTACGGTATCAGTTCCGTGCATGTAACGGTTTTACTATAATAATCCCAATTTTTACTAAAAATCTCAAGGACCCTGTATTTTTTATATTGGTCTATAGTTTCTATTAACAAATTTTTGCACAAATAGAATAACAATTAGTAAGAAATACATGCAAGTTATTAAATTTTAATATATTTTCTAAACAAATTGTTCAACAAACACAATTTGTGTTAACTAATTTTTTCTTAGTTGAATTGTCTGCGAGATATTAACCACTCGCCATACGATTTTTTTTACGACTTCACTCTCAAGAATTACTTTATTATTAATATTTTCGAAAATACAAAAGGAATTCTATTCTTACGGCAAGTGTTACATTTATTCTGAATCTTAAATGTTAATATCAGCGGAACAGTATTTCACGTCGACTTAAAGAAAACTTATTTTTTAACTGAATTTAGTAAAAAGAAATGTTTACTAAATTCAGTTTGAAATCGTTATCACGTGTCTAACTAGGTGTAGTAAGACAAGGGGTTAAAAAAAATGTATTTTACTCTCATCCTCAAGGGCTGTCTCCATCTCCTAGATATGAATATCAGCAGCTAAACAAAATACGGCTCAGATATGTTTGAATGTATGGTGCCTCGCTGAGCTATAGTGACTTCATAAAAACAGTAGAGGTTCGAATTCTTTACGCCTTTAGGGACAGTCAACGTATTTTGCGAGTCGTGGTTATAAGAGCCCTAGAGGTATACATATATCAAATAGGTATACAGGGTGTCTCAAAAGAAGGTCATCAAATCTTATGCATTTCAAAAGAAAACTGAAACGTTTCTGTGACATATGTAGTAGCTTTGAAGATGCCTATTCCAGTTCCATCATTACTATACTATATGTATAAATCTGATAAATTTTGATGTGATGACTGTAAATATCCAGCTAAATAGAGAAGTCCAAGAAGTGCTTCAATTTCATCGCGATTTGTTTCTTTCCCAACTCGTTTTCTTTTGAATTTATCTTTTTGCCGACAGCTTATATAAACATCAGTATAAAAAACAATCTTTTCAATTATATTGTCGGATAAGAAAAGTCTAGTTTTACTCTTGTTTCTAGGCGGTATTTTATACCATATTGTTATTTTATCTTTACCAACGTAGTTGATTGAGGAGCCCTGGAAAATTATATTAATAAAAATAGTATATTATAAGTAATTGATTTTAAGAATAAAACGTTATATAAAAATTTTACAAACACAAAATATAAAATTATATTCTTTTACTAAATTGAATTTATTATAATTCTTTTTTAAACAGACTTATAAATTTATGACCTCCTAAATAAATAAAATTTTGATACTTATCTCAAATGAGAAATTGCATTTTAAAAATCATAAGTAAATAGTATATACGTTTGCTTCACTTGCCTCCTCTTCATCTATTTCTATATTTCCATGTCAGGAGTTTTGGGAATAATAACAATAGTGAACTCGTTATTATTACGCTACAATATATGTATGTTTATTGAATGATAAATATAGAACACGTGTGTATCACTTGACGGCGTGGTCAGAACAGGGAATGTTAGACAGGAAAACAAAGAAAACGCGTTGTTGCTTTTCACACCTCTAATGTGTAAACAATATCTAATTTCCTATTACATAAGTCGGTAACTTAATATCTCGGTAAAGTGAAGCGCTTAGCTACTACATGTGCGTTCTTTTACACCCCTGCTATCGATATGTGCATCACACGTAAATGACATTTTGCTTAATAATGTTCAACTTAAATTTAGTATTTCCGTGCATCGTTCATGTTTACATTTGCTTAAAGATTTTGTCATATATCGGCGGGAATACGATCTGTTTGTAAATATTTAATAGTAATATCGCCCTTTTCCGCTAATTCCCGGGTAAAATGAAACCTTATATATACAGGGTGTCTCAAAAGTGTCTCTCTTCCGGGAAATGAGGGGTTGCTGGGGTGATTTGAAACCACTTTTTCCTTAGCGAAAATGTTATCTGCGGCTTTGTTAACGAGATATTAATGAAAAACCCCGACCAATCAGAGCGTAACTTTGCCAACCGAGTTCCCGCGCTAGCGGTGGCTACGCGCTACGCTTGTACTATGAAGCTCCGAACAAGCAAGTCGGCATGCATCTCAGGAAACCGCGTATAATAGCAAATAAGAAAAACATAATAAATCGAATTTTTTATCATCTTTCGTTTGTCATTTAAAGTGATGAATGAATGAAACATAAATGTAAGAAAATCATGTGTAACGTAAAAGGACGAATACACAATTATTTTTTTAAACAGAATCTTTAAGAAGTCTGAAGAAAAATGTAGGTACGGAAACTTGCAGAATTATTGCCGGGAAAAAGTCATATGTAGCTTGCGTTAAATTAAAAAAATAATAATCAACAATAAATTGATAGAACTCACCCTTTCGGAAATTCACCTGCAGCTTGCAGACCTGTGTCAGTAGGTCACTGTACCGATCCTGGTTATCGACGCGGTTTATGGCAGGGTATTGCCCAGTTCGCAGGTGATCGCAGGTATACCTCACCAGCCGAAGTTAAGGGTTGTAATGTCAAGTGCGTCCGGGTTATTCCACCGAATACCTACTCACTTCACTGCACGACCACTAACACTGATCACCCGACACAATCACTTAATGTATTTTTGAATGTATTTGCGAACTGGGCGATACCCTGCCATAAACCGTTTCGGCAGTCGATGACCAGGATCGGTTCAGTGACCTAGTGACACAGGTTGAATTTCTGCAAGCTGCAGATGAATTTCCGAAAGGGTGAGTTCTATCAATTTATTGCTGATTATTATTTTTTTAATCTAACGCAAGCTACATATGACTTTTTCCCGGCAATAATTCTGCAAGTTTCCGTACCTACATTTTTCTTCGGACTTAAAGATTCTGTTTAAAAAAATAATTGTGCATTCGTCTTTTTACGTTACACATGATTTTCTTACATTTATGTTTCATTCATTCATCACTTTAAATGACAAACGAAAGATGATAAAAAATTCGATTTATTATGTTTTTCTTATTTGCTATTATACGCGGTTTCCTGAGATGCATGCCGACTTGCTTGTTCGGAGCTTCATAGTACAAGCGTAGCGCGGGAACTCGGTTGGCAAAGTTACGCTCTGATTGGTCGGGGTTTTTCATTAATATCTCGTTAACAAAGCCGCAGATAACATTTTCGCTAAGGAAAAAGTGGTTTCAAATCACCCCAGCAACCCCTCATTTCCCGGAAGAGAGACACTTTTGAGACACCCTGCACACACCTACCTATGTACACGTATAAACAACAAACATTTGTGACATACCTACATATTTAAGTTATTTATTATTTATTCAACAAATTAAATTGTGAAAATTAATATATTTATAGTTTAATTAAACTAATATTACTTTAGTTTCATTAGATTGTATTAACCCGTGTGTGGGCAACCAAAATGTTCACGGTTATTGAGCAATCTGAGTACCCCAAACATCCTATTCTGACAGATTAGATAAATATAGGTAATTTTACTTTCATACTTTTTCGAATCTCTTAGTTCTTCCTTCGTATAATATACCAAGTGCCGTTCTAGACAAGAACATAAAATATTATGAAAAAAATGGGTACCTATGTAGTTAACCACACAAGGGTTAAAAGTACACTAGCACACGTGCATACTACATACGCGTTTCTGGTTGTAACGATTTACGCATCTCAGCATCTAATATGCAAATATCCTCCCACACAGAACAGATGATTCTCTGTTAGAACAGGTTGCACGTTATGGATTAATGATCATTATTACTATTTTCATTCATTTGATTTTGAATATACTAATTTATTGTGCAGGTTGAAAAACAGGAAAAGAGTAAAAAGAAAACCGGCAGAGCTAAGAGACGAATTCAGTACAACCGAAGATTTGTCAATGTTGTTCAAACTTACGGCCGCAGACGTGGACCAAACGCTAATCCTAATTCATAATTGTATATACATATACATGATTTCGGACCATGAAAATAAAATGAAAAGCTAATTATAACGAGTTTTTCCTTTCTTGTACCTTATGACTATATTATAGATAGATTATAGGGAAGATTTAGTTATTTCGTATACAACTATTGTATACATTCTTTTACTTTTATGAGAGGAAGTTCACACTGCGCCTCGAAAGTTTTTAGAATTTAGAAGTGCTCTATAGTGTATAAGAAGTGTTCACGAGCGTGAACAGGATGTGTCGGCACACCCTTAAAAAGACGGCGACCACAGAACCCGCAAGAAAGAGACAGTGAAATAACAAGTACAAGTGCTTCCGCGAAAAAACTCAGAAATGCCAACTGTGAGGAAATTCCTGTAAATGCGGCGCACTGGTATCGCATTGTTAATTTTGTAACAGTATTTTCGGCTATAAGTAATCTTATCAAATGTAAAACTTGTAATGGAATTATTACTTTTGGTGAGTCGAGTATTAGAGGACTCGGATTTAAACTCGTTGTGAAGTGTGAAACCTCTGAACTACAATTTATTGTTTCTTATCCTCTGATACGAAACGCGTATGAAATAAATCGGTGTATAGTTTTTACAATACGAATTCTTGGAGTTGGCTACGATGGCATCCGAAAATTTGGTGGTTTCATGGATTTCCCAAAAATATTTACTAAATCTGTGTATAATAAAATCGTACAGAGCATATATACTTCTTTCGAAAAAATGTGTTCTGCAATAATGTCTGAAGCGGCCGTCGAAGAAAAATGTTTGATTTCAGAACAAAAAAATTCAGAAGAACCAGGGGGGTTAAGGAGGGAGCCTGGTGTAACTCGCCGAAAATTGAGGAATATTCGGAAATTTTTAAAGAAAGTACTTAATCGATCTTTCTCAAATTTACAGGTTGTTATAGTACCACAGTATAGTTTATAACAAACAATTTTGTATTAAAAAAGGATGACAACTAACAAAGTTATGAGAGTTTCTTCCCAGTCTGTTGGCGACGCACTTGTTTCGCGGCGTACAACGTCACGTCTGCTGTATTCGTCTGAAAAAAAGTCTAAGTATAAGTTAATAGAAACAAAATTATATAAATCGCAGCCTCTTGAAGAAAAAATTAACTTTTTTTGGCTAAATTTTACCTTAAATGTTCATAAAAAAATTATTTATTTAAACAATATCATTGAAACAGACAGGAGGTTCATTCTATAAAGAAAATATTCACGAATATCTATGTAAAAGGCCAACCTGATCGGTTGAATACTTTTTGAGTTACATTGTACGCCAATTTGAAAAACGTGGTTTCGAGAAAAACGCGTTTTAAGTTTTCGATGAAAATAAATAACAGTTTTCGGATACTTACAGCTGTTTCATGCCAATCCGCTATACCAGGTCCATACATTAGACCTATAGAATGGATGGATTCTATATATGTATATATACAAATAATTATGTATGTTCTTTGATAGTTTTGTGATATATCGAACAAAATACACATGTAAATACATATATATTATACAAAACATAAATGTACATAGTACCATTCTATTTGAAATAGGGTTATTTTTTATCTAAAATAGGGCAAAACTTTTATCTAAAAAAAAATTACGGTAATTGTGCAGTTTAGCGATTTTTCCCGATTATAGATATGAATATCTCAAAAACTAAACCCAATCGGTGCTAACATGCATAAGAAAGACTAGTTTAAATGTTGCTTTCTACAACATATCTACCTTTTTTCATACCGTTTTATATAATAACCGTTTTTCGAAAATCTCCTTCCCACGTACATATGCATACAATAAATAAAAGTACATTTTACTCACAGGTGCCATTGACGACTCTTCTTTTCTCTACTTATCCTTGTCCTCTTTTCTTTCCTTCTCTTTCACCTGTTTTCTATCCTTCTCTCTCTCATTCTCCTCTCTGCTTTTGGTGTCTTTCGTCTTCATCTCTAAGTAAAATAATTTATATATGACCCACACTTTCAGAACCATTGCTGTACACTTTACGGTATTATAATACTTACTTGTTCTTTCTATTGATACTCAATTATAACTGAAGCGCTCACCAGTGATGCCAGAATCGTGGGACGCTTTACCCCCCCCCCCACTTCCCCACTCCGCCTACCGGCATCACCCACTTTACGTTTACGTAAGTCCTTTGTTCAGGAAGAGATATTCGAAAGCAAAAGCATACCGTGAAAAGAGACGACGCTTAGCCATTCAAAAAAAACGATGCAGAGGAACATGTAGAGGAACCGTCAACATCCGGTGGACAAATGCATACCACAGAGAAGATTATTTACCTGCCATCAGACGAGGAAACTGAAACAAGGAAATTTCATCATAGAAGAAGTAGGGATGAATGAGCCACAAGAACAATCGTCTTTCTCAAGTGGCTTGAGTGTTGTGGACGTGCAGCACATGTTTGCTCAAAAGCAGAAAATACGAGACCATGCAATAAATAGAGAAGACTGGAATTAGACACCTAAAAGTAACCGGCACGAAACGATCGGGCCTGCGGACCACCCTCAGCGTAATGTGCACTATGTGTCAATACAAAGGTGAGATCCACAGTCAACCCGATGAAACTCAAGAAATGAACATCAACCAGTGCGCCGTGGCTGGAACAATTCTCACTGGAGGCAGCTATGTCCAAATGGAAGAATTTCTTGCAGCAATAAACATACCCTGCATGTCGAAGAAACAATTCAGAAAGCATCACGATGAAATTGTAAATTCGCTAATTGATGCTGCAGAAGAAGAGATGATATCAGCGACTGAGGAAGAATAACGCTTGGCTATTGAAAGAGGCGACATTATTCCCGGATCCGGCATACCCCACATCCCCGTCGTGGCCGATGGAAGCTGGATGAAGAGATCCTACCGCACTGGAATATATAACTCTATGTCGGGTGTCGGTGTGATAATTGGATATCACACTAAAAAAGTTTTATTTATCGGCGTGCGAAATAAAATCTGCAAGATTTGTCGATGTGCTGCGGAGAAGAAGAAAGAACCCAGAGAACACGCATCAAGCATCGACCGCTATGGAAAGCCACGCTATAGTTGAAGGTTTCACGACCAGCATAGAAAAACGTGGGCTCATTTATTCAACGTTGATTGCTGATGGGGACAGCAGTGTATATAGAAAAATTATAGATGTGGACCCATATAAGACGCAGATTCGTGTAAAAAGAATTGAATGCACGAATCACTTGTTACGAAACTTCTGCAACAAAGTGAACGAAATTGTAAAGATGACTACACCTGGACTACTAAGACAAACGGTGGAAAATAGCATTCGGCGGATGCACGCGGACATCGTAAAAACCGCAGAGTATAGGTATACTCACAGCGTAGCAATCGCCGAGAAAATCAAGAATTTGTACAGCGACATACAGAATGTTCCCAGCCACGTTTTTGATGAACACGCAGAGTGTACACAACTACATTATTTCTGCGATGGAACCAATAAAAAAAATGAAAAGAACATCGTTCCAGAATTGATGAAGATAGGAGTTTACCAGCAGATAAAAGAAATATTTCGGCCAGTACTAGCTCATGCGGACAGCTTGCTGTATAAATAATAATACTGTGGAAAGTTTCAACGGAATCATTGCCAAGTATATTAGTGGAAAAAGATTACATTTCGGCGAGAGAGGGTCATACACAGGAAGATGTGCTGCTGCTGTCCTGCAATATAATACAAAAGCAGCGTTGTCGCGATTGAATACGGCAATGAAGAAAAAACCGTCCGTAATTTTACGCAATATGGAAAGCCAGAGGAAGAAATACAATCAGAAGAAGGCTGAGAAGCAAAAGGAAACAAAAAACGCAAAACATGTGCGTAAGCAAATCCGTTCCGAAAAAGATTCGGATTACGGACCTAATACTCAAAAGCCAGATATGACAGAAAATATTTATGAACTTGAGCAGGAAAAACATGCTTCATAATTGGCAAAAAAGAAGAGACGCTATTAAAGAAGAAACCATCGGTCAAGCGAAGAATCCGAGATGGTTAAATTATAAATCAAAACTTTTGACCGCATCGAATTTTGGAAGAGTATCCCGTCGACGAAATGAAACGTTCTGCGCAAATTCTGTCAAGTCTTTTGTGTACCCGAAGTTAATTAATGCACCTGCGGTGATATACGGACAAGAGTGTGAACAAATTGCTCGCGAAGAACTGAGCAAACATGCAGGCGTAGAAATTGACACTTGCTCATTGACGCTTCCATTCCCTTCTTGGGAGCTTCACCGGATGGTGTTATCGATGACGAGGGCATTGTGGAAATTAAATGTCCGAAAACAGCAGAAAATTTATCACCAGAGGAGGCAATCGAGACCGTTTCAGTTGTCCGGCGAATATTTCAAGATGCAACTGGTACTGCGTTAAATCGAACCCATCATTATGTCTACCCAGTACAAGGACAACTAGATATCACAGGTAGAAAATATTGTATATTGTGTCTTTGGACTCGAAAAGGATTGAAATATGTACGAGTAGATAGAGACGATACCTTTTGGCAAACAAATATGACGCCAAAACTTCCTATTTGCCAATGCATTTCCTTTGTTTTATCAATTGTCCAGTTCACTATCATTTTAACATCTCAGCGTTGTTTTGCATATTAGGAGAGGGAGATAAAGAGCAATTGTTCAAACATAAATAATTTGAAATCTATCGATTTAGATGAGTATCTACTGATTTCAATTCCTTCCTACATGTGCCAACTTCACTTTTCTCCCTTCTCCTATTACATCTGTTTCAAACTTCGCGCTTTCAACACTCGCATATCGATAAGCCTAAATATCGTTTGAACCAAACACCTTTTCCCGCGACAACGTAACAAATGTAACGGGCTAGTAACTATCGAAGCGATGCGGTCACAATCGAATGAACCGATTGTGCACTGTTGCGGCCTTTTCCAGGGATTTCTTTTAAAAGAGATAAATCAGGCGTGAATCCTCGCCCGTGGAGCCCTGAAGAACTCTGCTCGTTAGGAAATTTTAGACTTCTTTTAAAGGAGACAACTTTAATTTGAAAAACACG